ATACAGTATATATATATATAACTATTTAATTAACTAATACTTGTATTTATTAATTATAATAATTATAAATATATACAGTATATATACAGTATATATACAGTATATATACAGTATATATACAGTATATATACAGTATATAAATAGTTACCTGATTTTTGTTTGTATAGTCCGATAACTTTTTCACCAAAACTTAACATATCTACAACATTGGATACTATATTATGTGTTTGCCATTTATTATTATTATTATTATTATTAGGTGTGTTTTGTTGTAGTAGTAGTAGACTATCCCAGTCAACTGATCCAATGTTAACTAACCATTGCTTATCGCCGCCATCCGTATGATCTAACCTATAGTTCCTGACCCGATAGGGCACCAGTAGGCCGGTTGGCCAAACCAAACGAGTGTACGGCATATGTAGTCTTTCCCCAATCAAGCGGTCAACTAGTTTACCGTACGGTTGTTTGGTTGCTGCCGACAAAACTTCATCGACCAGACGCCATGATATATCATTGCCCGGTCCGGACACTGTTAGCTTTTGTTGGCTACTATTCCCATCACTACTGCCGGTGCTGACTATAGCTATCTGTTTGTTCATCAGATCTCGTAATGTCATATTGATTGCCATATATTGGGTGTCATTACTAGTCAACTGTTTCCAGATTTCAATGTCCGGCACGTATTGATGGATATCTGTATCCAAATCTATACGTCCGCTATCTATTAGTTCAGTTATCATTACCGATGTCAACGGTTTGCTAATTGTGTTTAGACTATACATAAGCGTGACATACCATGACATGACCGGTAATTATTTAAAAAAAAAAAATAATTTATACAATATTAGTGATATACAGTATAATAATAATTAGTAGTAGTAGTAGTAGTAATTTAAATGGTAAAATATAATAATAAAAAATTATTAAAAAAAAATCAATAAATAAATTGTAGTGATTTTAGTCAATAGATAAAAATATTACTAAATAATAATAATAAGTAATAAAACTTTTTTTTTGTGAATCTAATGGATTTCTAAGCAAAAATAAATAATATAAAATAAATAATATAAAAATCATATATATATTTATTGCCTCAAAAAATTTTTAGTGTTTAGTTTGTATCTAAAAATATACTGTATATATATATATATAAATATATATATATATATATATCTCATGGGATTTAAATACATATGATATCCTACTATTTGTTGATTGAATGATATATGATATCAATATTATTTATATATATTAATAAATCTGCTATTTATAGCTCAAAAAACAATCATCATCAAAAATACACACACAAAAAAACACTAAATAAAATGTGGGGGAAAAACAAAATCCCACCCCCACCCCCCCGAAAAAAAACTATTTCCTATATAAAACATATTTAGTTAAATATTAATAGTATTCAATAATATAATTAATAAAAAAATAATACTTTCAATTCAATTCAATATACAAATAGAAAATTAATTATAAAAATTATTTGTTTGTTTGTTTTGCTTAATAACTTAATATAGCATTATATCGAAAATAATAATATAACCAAAAAAAAATTATAAATATTTTTTTTTTAAATTTAAAATAATATAGACCTGAATGCCGATTGTCGATGACATCGGACACCGTTTTCCAGATCCGAGTAACCCATACCCTCTGTCCAAACATGTCTACCCATTAGGGTTACACCTATGGCCAGACATGGTATACCCAATAGACTTCTCAGGGTTTCAATTGTTTGCCTCGACTCTACTATAGCACCGTTAAGTCGACGATCATCTGATACGGACGGGTAGTTTAGGGTCAGTTCATCCGTTAGTTTTTCAACAATTATCGGACGATCGGACGTATAGTTAACTGTTAATTAAAATAATAAAATATTAGTTAATATTCATCCAAAAAAAATATATATATAACAAAACAAAAATAATAATATATTTTTATAGTATATCCACAAAAAAGTTTTAATTTTTTTTTATTTTCAAATAATAATTATAATAATAATAATAATATTATCATAAAAAAAATATTTAGCTATTTATTTAATTAGTAATAACTATTTAAAAAAAACAATTTTTAATTATTTACTCTATATTTATAATTTAAAAAAAACAAAAATATTTCCAAACTAATTACAAATAAAAATTTAAAAAAAAAGTTAACTAAACTATTAAAACAAATTTTTTTAGTAATTAACAATTAAAATTAGTAAATAAATTATATAATAATAATAATTATTATATATTATATAAAATTATTATATAAAAACAACAAAATTATAACTAATTATAAATTTAATATTAACTTTAACTAATTAAAATAAACTAATATATATATATATATATATAYAGTACCTTGATGATTTAATTTATCACATTTATTATTATTTTTGTCCATGGTCGTTTTGAAAAACATATAGCCAACAATTGACGTGCATATCATTATAGTTAGTATCAGATAAAACATTAGATGCAATTCAAGATTGGTTTTATGGCGCAAACAATTCATTATTATTATTGAATTATTTAATCTTTTAAATTATTAATAATAACAACAATAAGATAGAGAATATAATAATAAAATATTTAAACAATTGTTTTTTTATTACTATAATTGTTGATTATCTGTAATAATTAAATTGAATTTTAATTATTCATTTAAAAAATGGGTTTGAAATCAAAACCTCTTTAACAATATAAATAATAAAACATTTAAATTAATTAATTATTTAATTTGAAAACTAGAGAGAGAGAGAGAGAAAGAGACATTAAATTTATTAATTATTAATCAATTAATCAAAAAATAAATTTAATATAACTTTAATATATTTATATCATTAATATTATGTATTATATATATATATTACTCTACATTACCTGTAATTACTATTATGTTTGAGTGTCTCAATGGGATTGCTATTATCATTAGTAATATTGTAATTATTATGATTAATATGATTATTATTATTATTATTAAAATTATTGTTAGCAAATTGAAATGACATTATTGTGGATTGAAAAGCGCTTATATTAATACAAATTAAAATAAATATAGTTTGAATAAATTTTATTTTTTGCAAAATAAAAAAATATATACTAACAATTAAAATATTATTTTTGATATGTTTTTATTGTTATCATATTATTCAATAACTAATGTATTATTACTATTATTATTATTGAATTCAATATATAATATATATATATAAATATTTTATTATTATTATTATTATTGTCGTTAATATTACATTTATTGTTATACAGATTATAATAGATAATATATATATATATATATATATATATTACTAATAAATTTAATTTAAAATTTAATACTAATATATAATAATAACAATAATAATAATAATCAAATTACTTTATTAATTAATATATGTTATTTAAAATTAAAATTAATAAAATTATTAAAATAAATTTAAATTATATATAAAAGTATTATTTTATTAAAAAATTAATAAAATAATACTTTTATATATAATTTATAAGTATATAATTATTTATAATTATTTTATTTTTAGAAAATATTTAATAATTTTTTTTATTAATAATTTTTTTATAAATAAATTTATAAAAATTTTAAAAATATTTGTTTTGCATGAATAAGTTTGTATATAAAAAAAACTTATTGTTAATTTTTATTTCAATTAATAAATAATACATAATATTTTATTTGTATAAAAAAAATAATAATATTCATTATCAAGGACACATTATATTGTTATTTTTAGATAAATTTTTAAAAAATATTCATAATTTAAAAAAAATTGTTTATCTAAAAATAATTTTTACTTATTATATGATTACAATAATATATATATTTTTTTAAATTAAAGTTATTTACTAAACTTATTAATAATTTATTTCTATGTATTTTACGGTAAAAATAAACTATATTTCATATATTAAAACATTATTATATATATATAATAAATAACATAAATAACTAACACTAACTATCAATATATATATATATATATAATTATATTTTTTAATATTATATCATAAAATATAATAAAAATACAATAAATAGCTTTTATTGATAGTATTAATGATTTATTTTATTTTTTTTTGAATTATTGTTATTGTTATTAATAATATTTATTAGAAAATCTATTTTTTCTAAAATAAAAGTAAAATAGGTATTAAATCAATTAATTTTATTTATTATTATTATAAGCTATTAGTTTATGATTTATTGTTTAAAAACTTTTCAAAAAACAATTCAAATTATATTAAAAGTTAAATAAAACAAATATATAATCAAAAAAAATAGTAATATTTGTCATTTAAAACATTTATTATTAATAATTATTATATTTTATATTATAGTTATTTTTTTAAAGAAAAAAACATTCAATTAATTTATCTCAAAATTTCTTTATTAATTTGTAAAAATAAATTAATTATAACATTAAACTAATAATATTATTATAAATGATTGATTAAAAATATAAAAATATTTATTAGTAATTTACAAAATTATTTTCTTTGTGAAATGTTAGTCAAAATCAAATATATATATATTTTTTGTAACAAAAAATAAATAATATAATTGACTAATATTTTTTAAATATATGTATAAATATATATATATATTAAAATATACAGTAATATAATAAGTATAGTAAACCTATTGAACCTATAGTTTTAGTTTATAATTAATGACTTTTAAGTTTATTTAMTAAATTTTACTAAAAATAATAATAATAATTAAATTAAATATATATTAGTAATATTTATGGGGGAAAAAATTATGAGTCAAAATTTTTTTAATATTTAGTATAAATATTTTATTTAAAAAAAATCGATTAATTTATGATTAAATGTTAGTCAAAAAAAACAATGAAATAACAAAATAAAAATAATTGAATCATATTTTAAATTATTATTTTTTTGTTGATTCAAACATTTAAATACATTATTAATATATATATATATATATATATATATTGATTACTAATACTAACTAATACTAGAGTAATATTTAACATACACTCAAAAGTGTAAGCCTATCGCACAGTTAGTCACAAATTAATTAATAATTAAGTGTTTGACTGACTATCTGTCCGTCCATTGCTATAGTCATAGAAAACTACTATTATTTTGAACACACATCCCATTCCTCTCACCCTTTCCTCACACACACCCATTGAAAATGTCTATTAATAATACCGATAGTAATCATTCAAAACCGCCATCATCGGTGTTGGCCATTACCGAATCGGATGTCCAGCTAATAATGGCCAGTGGTGTACATTTGGGTACACAAAATCTTCATCATCAAATGCAACAGTATGTCTACAAACGTATCGCGGATACGGGTGTCCATATTATACATGTACGCCGAATATGGACGAAACTACAGTTGGCCGCCCGGGCTATTGTGGCCGTCGATAATCCCGGTGATGTATGCGCCATATCCAGTCGATTGTATGGCCAACGAGCCGTACTGAAGTTTGCCCAACATACCGGTGCCTGGCCAATGGCCGGCCGTTTTACACCCGGAACGTTCACCAATCAGATACAGAAAAACTATCGCGAACCGCTGTTGCTCGTAGTGGCCGACCCTCGAGCCGATCATCAGGCTATTACCGAATCGGCCTATTGTAATATACCGGTCATAGCTATGTGCGATACGGATAGTCCGATGCGTTACATCGATATAGCCATACCGTGTAATAATCGGTCGGTTCAGTCGGTTGGCGTAATCTGGTGGCTACTGGCCCGTGAAGTCCTGCGTATGCGCGGATCGATTGGCCGATCGATGCCCTGGAACGTAATGGTCGACTTGTTTTTGTATCGGGAAGCGGAAGAGCCGTCGGCAGTGGCCGACGGCGGTCCCGATAAAGACCCGCTAGAGTTGCATCAATTGCTCGGTAACGACGGCGCTGATGGCCGTATGGATGGACAACATGAGAGGTCAACTGTTGGTGGTTTTGGCGGCACTGCTGACGGCGACCTATGGTTTGATATTGACGGCACCCGCGGCCTTAAAGATATGGTTATACACAACAGCGGCGGCATTTCATATGGTAATCAGCCGGCAGTGGCCAGCGGACAACTACCGATTAATACTACTAATGGTGGCCATCATAAGCAGCAGCTGACAACCAATAGAGAGCCAATCATATCGGAGGACAACAACGATTGGGGCGGCAATACTGACCCGTCCGATTGGACATAAATATTATTAGTCCCATACTCACCCCACCCCTCCCCTACTCTACCCCCACACCCACTACATAACACCCCTAAACTCTGGATTATTAAATGMGAAAATTAAATACTGATTACAAGTTTTTTTTTTTTGAATATATGTTTTGTTTTGTTAATTCAATTATCTGACTATAAATTATATTTATATAATTAATTATTATAATTTTTTTTTTTGTAAAATTTTTTTGTAACAATTAATATTGAAAATTATGTTATTATTATTATTATTATTATTATCATAAACTGATTGTCTATAAAAAAAACTATAGTTATTAATAACTTTATATAATTATTTTTTTTGATAATATAATTAATAATAATTCAATTTGTTTGTTTGTTATTTAGATGATTTAATTACTGGTTATGTAAATGCTAGATTGTTTGCTTTGATAAATAAAATTATGATTAAATATAAATTATGAAAATATTTTTATTTAAAATTTTAAATATTACCTAATAATAAAAAATTGCCTAAAATTACCTTTAATTACATAATGGTATTTAATATTACCTAATATTAAATAATATTACATAATATTACCTAATATTACATAATATTACCTAATATTACCTAATTTTACCCAATATTACATAATATTACCTAATATTACCTAATATTATATAACATAAAAAATTAAAAAATATTATATAATACCTAATATTTTAGAAATATGAAAATTATATTTAAATTTTACCTAATATTACATAAGATTACCTAATATTACCTAATATTACCTAATATTACCTAATATTACATAATATTACATAATATTACCTAATATTACCTAATTTTACCCAATATTACATAATATTACCTAATATTACCTAATATTACCTAATATTACCTAATATTACATAATATTACCTAATATTACCTAATTTTACCCAATATTACATAATATTACCTAATATTACCTAATATTATATAACATAAAAAATTAAAAAATATTATATAATACCTAATATTTTAGAAATATGAAAATTATATTTAAATTTTACCTAATATTACATAAGATTACCTAATATTACCTAATATTACCTAATATTACATAATATTACATAATATTACCTAATATTACCTAATTTTACCCAATATTACATAATATTACCTAATATTACCTAATATTACATGATTACATAAAAAATTTAACTTTAGATACAGTATATACTGTATATATATATACTAAAAAAATGATTAATAATTTTACTGTAAATAACTTTTATTTACTAATAAATWTTTTTTTATATAAAAAAATGGTTATAATTTATATATACATATAATATATTATACATAGAGTACACATATAAAATAGTTAGTCAATAAATATTAATACTATTACATTATTATTAATCTATATATACATTAATTAATTAATTATAAATACAATTATATATATAAATTTATATAACAATTTTTAATTTTGTTGTGTATAAAAACATATGTATAATATATGTATAATACAAATAAAAAACATTTATTAACAATGATGATCTTGATCAATTTTATATTATTAAACTGCAGTTTGCTGTACTTCAATGCCATCTATATCCTGCCAATTGAAATATAATATTTAAATTATTAGTTATTTAAATTAAATATATATAATGAAAATCTAAATTTATAACCAAAAAAAATAATAATTATTATTAACCAAAAAATACAAACAAACAAACATATTATTATATTAATGATTATTATTATTATTATTATTATTAATAATAATTTGAAATAATTTGCTATTTTTTTTATTAAATTATAATTTCTAATAATTTTTTAAATAAAAATTATTATTAATATATATATATATTATTATATTAAGAAATAAAAAATGATTTGTAAAAAAATAATAATTAAAAACTATTTAAATAAATTAAATAATAAAATAAATAGTTTAAATAATACTTAAAATATTTTTTGTTGATATCCTTAAAAAACATTTTTAGAAATTATAATTTTRAAAAAAGTAATGTTTTTTAAGGATATTAACAAAAAAATTGTATATCTTTTAAGTATTATTTTATTTAAAATATTTATTTTAACTATTAATTTATTTTAATTAATAGTTTTTAAATTAATATAATTTTTACAAATCATTTTATTTCTCTTAAATATAATAATAATAAATATACTAATAATAATTTAAAAAAAAATAATTATTAGAAATTATAATTTAATAAACAAAAAGTAATTAAAAAAAAATATTATTAGTATTAATAATAATAAAAACTATTAAATAATTAATTAAATAATTACATTAAACATAATATARTAATATATATACTAATAATATTAGAAATTAATATAAAAAATTATTAGAAATTATAATTTAATAAAATAAAAGTATATTTAAAAAAAAATATTATTAGTAATAATTATAATAATAATACTATTAATTAATTAATTAATTATAATTACATTAAACATAAATGTTTGATGAACTATAACCCCAGTAGTATTGGTTGAATCGTTGATTATATTATTGGACTCATTATTATTATTAATAATATTATTATTTGAATAATATGTTTGTTGTATCAGACCATCCCTGAGCTCAACTGTCTATTATCAACACAAAAAAAAAATAAAATTATTAATATTTAATAATCACATTTGAATATAATATAAAAAACACAACAACAACCAATAAATCATATAATGATAATAATAAATAATACATTAATAATAATAATAATAATAAAAAAAAATTTGTCAAAAAATAATTGATGAAAAAAAAATTTACATTTTATTTCAAACACAACTGAAAAACTTCATCAATAATCAAACAAACAATAGTAGAAATATATATATATATTAATATATATCTATGCACTCTATATATATATATATATATATATATATATATATATATAAATATATAAATTCATAAATAATATAAAATATAATTTTTCTCTCTCTCTCTCTCTCTCTCTCTCTCTGTCTCTCTCTCTCTCTCTCTCTCTCTCTCTCATCTCATTTTCAAACCAATTGTGTTATTATTATTATTAGTAGTATTTATTATTGTTGTTGTTGTTGTGTCTGTCATTTCATTTATCATTTATATTATTATCTCTCTCTYTCTCTCTCTCTCTCTCTCTCTCTCTCTCTCTCTCTCTCTCTCTCTCTCTCTCTCTCTCTCTCTCTCTCTCTCTCTCTCTCTCTCTCTCTCTCTCTCTCTCTCTCTCTCTCTCTCTCTCTCTCTCTCTCTCTCTCTCTCTCTCTCTCTCTCTTAGTCTCTCTCTCTCTCTCTTCTCTCTCTCTCTCTCTCTCTCTCWCTCTCTCTCTCTCTCTCTATATATATATATATATATATATATATACTGTATATATATATATCTTGTAAATTCAATTCATGCATATGTAATGTGCATATGAATTATTATTATTATATATACAAATTTTTTCTATCAAACTGACAATAAAATACTTATAAGTTATACAATATATAAGCAAAAAATTGTTGTAAAAAATATATTTTTTGACATTTATGTAAAGCATAATTGTCTTTATATATATCATATATATATTGTATATATGATAACATAGAGTGGATGAACAAAAAATTGGAAATCAATAAATCAATGAATATATAAATTATATATTATATATAAAAAAAATTGTTCACCAAAAAAAAATATTAATAATAATAATAATATTTTTTGAATATAAAAAAAATATTATCTATACTACAGGTTATTATTATTACTACTATTATTAATATAGAAAAAAAGTACAGAAAAAATATTGAAACTTAAAACATAAAATAATTTTTTTTATAAAAAAAAATAAAATAAAAAAGTTTTACCAATAGTTAGGACAAATAGGACATACCTTTCTGGGCTTAGTTAGGGTGCCGTTAGTTAACAACAAACCATTGGCAGTGTTGGTGTTGGGGTTATTGTTAACTAATATTGATTTAATTGGTTTCTGTTGTAAAACATTATCAATAATATTATTATTATTACTACTATTACTGGTTGTTGTCGTTGTTATGTTTGATATGGATATTAAATCATCTCTCGAGTCATTAATAATAAATAAATCGATATTTTTTGTATTATTATCGATAATAGATTGTCGATCTGAATATATATATATATATATATAAAAAAAATTAAATTAATTTTTATTAAAAAAAATTATTGATATAACTAACCACACGGTATAACATCGGGTCCTTTAAGGCCGGGTCCCGGCGGGTCGTCAACAACATAGCAATTGTTGGTAACGGCATTCAGATGACTACCAGTCCCCCCAACACCACCACCAGTAGTAGTCCCACCACTACTAGTGCTTAATATATCGACAATACTACTACTGCACTGGTAGTCTTGACTGGTTGTTTGTAATGATAGTGCACTTTAAAAATACATATAAATAATTAAATTAAATAAAACAAATTAAATGACAATTTTATTTAATTAGTTATTTTGTATATGGGGATATTCACATATTACGTTCGCACTTTTTTTAAAAAAAGAATTCTAGACCCCCTCCCTCCCCTATGTTCGCATATAATCATTATAAATACAATTTTATTTAATTAGTTATTTTTTAAACATGGAGGCTATTCACATATTACGTTCGCACTTTTTTAAAAAGAATTCTAGACCCCCTCCCTCCCGTATGTTCGCATTTAGTCATTATAAATATTTATGTTCACATGCAAATAACCGCTAACCCCCCCCCCCTCACCCACCCCACCACTAAAAAAATAAAATATCTAAATGCGAACCTACTTAAGATCACTACCCCTCCTCTCCCCTTGTTTGTAAAATTTCGCTTAGGTCGACCAGCCCCCTCCCCCACATCAAATACGAACGTAATATGTGAACCATCACTATAAGCAAAATTTAATTATACTGTATATACCGTATACAGTATTAGTTGAGTCATTCATTTTTTTATTTGTTTTTTTTTGCTAATAATTTAATTATAATTATCAATCAGTTTAATGGATAACAAATAAAATATACAAAAAAAATAATAATTAAAAAAAAATCAATCAATACTTTTGTCTGATTTGTTGTTCCCGTTTGTCTTTTTCTTCGTCCTGTTGTTTGATTTTGCATATAATGATAACAATGACAACAATTAGTATTAGGGACAGTAAGGCACCGATAATTATGGCCAGTATGGGCTCGTAGTCCAGTTCCTGATGACCGGAAACTATAGCCAAAAAAAAAAATAAATCAAAAATAATTAAATCAAAAAAATTAATTGTAATAATAAAATAAAATTTTTTTAGTTAATAAAACATTGAAATAAATTATTTTTAGATAAAATATTAATGATAAAAAATAATTAATTGTAATTGGGTGTTATTTTCTAAAAAAAATAAAAATAATAATTTAATAAACTTATATAATATGTTTTAAACATTTTAAGCATAATAATTAAATATATAATTTTTTTTATATAATATAATAAATCAAAATTATTGTTTTGTTTTTTTTTGGATTAATACAATATTTTGATTAATTTTATATCTCATATATATAAAAAAAATAAATAACTTATTCAATAGATTTATTGGTCATTTGATTAAATAATAATAATATTATAATAAATATTTTTTTTTAAAACAAACTAAATATTTACGTATAATTGTTGATAATCTAACCAAACAAAAAAAATTTCAACAAAAAAATACTTTAATAGTCACTAATTGAAAAAATAATTGAAAAATAAATAAATAAATAATAATTAATCATTAATTGGGTACTATTTTTACTGAGTATTATTAACTTTGTGTTTAGTCTAAACAGTTTAATCAAAATAAACTAATATAATATGTTTTAAACATTTTGCATAATAATAATTAAATTAATAATAATATAATAAATAAAAATTTTGTTTTTTTTTTTGGATAATAATACAATATTTTGATTAATTTTATATCTCATATTAAAAAAAATAAATAAATAACTTATTCAATAGATTTTTTTGTTTTTTGTTGTTTTTATAATATTATAATATTTTATATATTTGTTTATTGGTTATTAACAACAAAAAAATAAATAAATAATAAAATAAAAATTATATATCTATATATATATATATCACTTATACTATTAGCATATAATAAATATTTTTAAACAAAACAAACAAACAAAAAATATTATAAAACAACTATAAAAAACATTTACTATAATTGTTGATAATATTAAAAAAATAGAAAATAAATTTCTCAAATTTTGTAAATAAAAAATAATTTCAAAAAAAAATATATGAATAGTTACTAATAGAAAAAATACTAAATAAAAATAAATAAATAATAAAATAAAAATTATATATCTATATAGTATATAGTATATACTTTATATCACTTATATTATTAGCATATAATAAACATTATAAAACAACTAAAAAAAAAACATTTACTATAATTGTTGATAATATTATTAAAAAAAATAGAAAATAAATTTGTTTCTGAAATTTTTTTGTAAACAAAAAATAATTTCAAAAAAAATATATGAATAGTTACTAATAGTTAAAAAATACTAAATAAAAATAAATAAATAATAATAAAAATTTAATAAAGTTTTTCATCAGCATTTCCAGCACCTAATTTCGTATTCACAGTCGATAGTGTCGACACAAACATTTGTTTCGGTTCGCTCAGGCCTTTGGCATTCAAGGCATACAAATTCACTGTATAGTCGGTACCGGAGGACAGTTGGTCGATGAAAAATACGGCACTTGTAGTCAGGCTCAAGTTTTTCACTACAGTCTGGTAGACAGTGTCGACAATTTGGCCGAAAAATGTCTGCCGTAGTCCTTGGCTGTCGCCGGGCAGGCACTCGATGGTCAACGATTGCATCGTACGATTGATGACCAGACAGCCGTTTAGGGGACGGGGAGGTACGGCTGTTATTATATGATAGACACACGGTTCACGTTGTAGGCCGATCTCATTTTTCGACCAACACGATACGAGACCAAAATCGTCGGCCGATCGGACAGTAAACTGTAGATCACTGGTCAGATCATTGCCGCCGACACCGTCGCTACTACGGGTCGATGTTGAGGAGGACGTATAGCGGCTTGAGTTGACCTCCAGATTGTTGAATGTCCAGTAAAACGATACGTCCGTCGATGGTTGGGCTTCGACCGAACACCTGAGCACTTGAGACTCGTTGATGGCCATAGCTATCGTATGCCTGACCTCTGGGTTTCGGCAAATTGGTGTGTCTTTTGTAATTATATACACAAACTTATAGTTAGTTTTTTACAAAACTAAACAAAAATTAATTAATTATATGATAGCACTTACACCTGAGGTCGAGCATCACCTCATTGCTGACACCCCGGCCCTCAAGATTACGGGCACTGCAGCTATATTTCCCTCGATGTCGGGGTCGTAGCTCATGTATGATAAGCGTTGAGTTGGCTATTACTACACCTGAAAATAATTAAAAAATAAAATAAAATAAAATACATAACAAAAATAAATAATTAAATAAATAGTAAAATTGTTTTTTATATATAGAAAATTAATTGCAACCAAATTGTCATTAAAGTCCCACTAAATTCCCATTAAATTCCCAATAAATTCCCACTAAATTCTCACTAAATTTCCACTAAATTCCCATTAGATTCCTACTAAATTCCCACTAAAATTTCACTAAATTCCCACTAAAATTTCACTAAATTCCCACTAAATTCCCACTAAATTCCCACTAAATTCCCACTAAATTCCCACTAAATTCCCACTAAATTCCCACTAAATTCCCACTAAATTCCCACTAAATTCCCACTAAATTCCCACTAAATTCCCACTAAATTCCCACTAAATTCCCACTAAATTCCCACTAAATTCCCACTAAATTCCCACTAAATTCCCAATAAATTTCTATCTAAATGATCCAACAATTTGGTTGCAATTAATTATATATATATATATATTTATAGAGTAACTTATAATCAAATTTATAACACTTAACCAACAATCAAAAAACGATAGTTAATTAATAAATAAACAAATAATACTAACCGTTAGTATTGTCGGCAATAATCTGTGAGCCATTGAACATAAACTGTATATCTGTGGCTCCGGGATTTGATTTGATTGTACAGTCCATCACCGTTTCTGATCCCTCTCTAAGTACTACTAATTTGCTTTTCTTGCCAATAGTTAGCGTAACTTTTGGATCGTCTATTAAATAATGATAATAATAATTATTAGTAGTATTAGTATTATAATAATAATAGATATAATTTTTTTTTTGGTTATATTTCTCCTATAGTTTTATTTAGGAGGATATTATTATCACTGGCAAAGCACCGGTAGGTTATACTATATATATATATATATTATATTATATAAATTATATAATAAATCTACGATCGGATTCAAATTGCCTCTCATTATATATAACTTATTTTTTTCTCAGTGTGTGTTATATTATATATATATATATACTGTATATATCAATGTTAACAGTATATAAACTATAGATTTATCTAATTTTCTCACCAAAAAAAATAATAATAATAATAATAATAATAATAAAATAAAATAATCTATAAACTAATACTACATATATATTATATAGGATTTGATCGGTAAGTACTTATAAATTACTTATCAGATATAATGTATATATATATATATATATATAYATACTGTACTTATATATATATATATATATACTGTATAATACAGTACTGTATCTATAAAAAAAAACATTATAACACTTTGTTATTTTGTGGATAAAAATTTAAATAATATGTTTAGTAAAAYATATAGCATATAATAATATTAACGATATGCTAATAAAGTTGATAAAATAAATTATTGGATTATTATTATTATTATTATTAGATTGAAATAAAAAAAATTGTGTATAAATTTCATAAACTAAATTCACTAAAATTAAATATATGTTGAAAATTAGATATATTAATATATATATATTGAAAAATAAAATAAAGTTTTAATTAAATTATTTATATAAATATAATTTTTATAATTTTTGTGTTTTTTCTGTTTTAAAAATTTATTATTAATTTTTATTATTATTATCAAATATATCAAAAAATATAATATATTCAAAATTTATCCAGAAAAATAAAAAAACTAAAAAATAAAAATAAATATCATTTATCATTTAATTCACAACTATTATTGATAATATAACTATTAAACTTATGGTATAATTAATTAATTTTATTTTAAAAATACAAACAATTTTTGTTATTTAATTAAACTTATTTAGGGGATAGAAAATAAAATAATAAAATATATAGATAATTTGTCTAATAAAATTATATATATATAATATATATATTTGGATAAAATTAATACATACAATAAACTTGCAGCTCCCAGCCCTCCTCAATAAATCCCTGRTTGGGCAGCCCCTGTATCCTAGGATTTTGGGCACGACATATCAATAAGGCATTATCATCGGAAACGGTAGGCATCAGATTCAATATACTAGTGGTAGTGTTGCCATCCGATGATACCGTTTCCCTGTAATATAACGTAAAAAAACATCAATTTATTTTTTTAATAAAAAAACTTTTAGATATAATTTTTTTTGGATAAAATATGAAAAAAATCAAAAATTAATTAATTAATTAATTAAATTTGTTTTCAATTCAATACTAACTGTGAATGTTGTAATTGTTTGCCATTTTTGAACCAAACAATCACTGCCGGCGGTCGTGAACCTAATTGTTTCAAATAATAATAATAATAATAATTATTATTATTTTCAAATTAATTTTAAATTATTATCATATTTATAGTAACTAATTATTAATAATTAATTAATTAATTAATTAATTAAATATACCATTTGTTTGACAAATTATCTCGACTTTACGTCCGGCGGACAGCATATTACTGACGGATACAATATTAACAGTTTGTGGCAATACTTATTGAAAAATATATATATAATTAATTAGTTATAAAATAGTTATAACAATAATAATAATAATTAAATAAAATATATAATTTATAGTTTATTTTCATATGATAAATATAACAATATAACTATCAATAATAATGATAATAATAATAATAATTAAATAAAAATAATTTATAGTTTATTTTCATATAATAAATATAAATATAACTATCAATAATAATAATAATAATAATACTAATAATAATAGATTAATCAAACAATTAGCTCTAGAAATATCTAGTGTTCAATCATATTAATAGTTAGATAAAAAAATAATTAATAAATTTATAAATATAATGTATATATATATATAATTTTGTTGTCAAAAAAATACTAACAATTAATTTCTAACAAATATTAGATATTGTTTTTTGAAAATTAATTTTCAGGGTTTTAGGGGTTTCAGGGGGTTTGGGTTTTAACAKTACATTAAACAACTAAAAACTATTTACTACTACTACTACTACTACTACTAATAATAATAATAAAACAAAACAAAAATAATAATAAATTTATAATTTATGAAAAAACAAAACAATAATAATAATAATAATAATTTCTAACAAATATTAGATATAGTTTTTTTGTTGTTGAAAATATATTAAATTAAAATATTAAATTATATCTTAAAATAAATTAAATATCTAGTGTTCAATCATATTAATTAGTTGGATAATAAAATAATATTTTTTAACCAAAAATCTAATTAATAAATATATATATAATTTTGTTTTCAAAAAAAATAAATAAATAATTAATACTAACAATTAATTTCTAACAAATATTAGATATAGTTTTTTTTGTTATTGAAAATATCTTAAATTAAAATATTAAATTATATCTTAAAATATTTTAAATATCTAGTTTTCAATCATATTAATTAGTTAGATAATAAAATAATATTTTTTTACCAAAAATCTAATTAATAAATATATAAATATATATATAATTTTGGTGTCAAAAAAAAATATAATAATAATAATAATAATAAATACTAACAATTAATATCAATAGTAAACGATCGGCGTATCGCTGATTGGCTATTATTGGCTACAAAATTATCGGCTAAACAACTGTAGTTAACTAGTAGGTCGGTGCGCGACAAATTATATACATGTATATCATTGACAACAGTTGATAGACCATTAGGACTGACAGTATAGGTATTGTCAATAAGGGTCGACCCGTCGCCCCTATACCAGTGCAATACTGGCGGAGGATTTCCTAATAATCAAAAAGTTTTTTAATTTAGTTATATATATATATATATTTAATATATAGATTTGATCTATACCTCCATCAGCCTGACAGGTAAACACCAGATCCATGTCCTGATCGTATGGTCCGACAACAGTACCGTCCGGTACTACTGAGCCGTTCAGATCGCGTATCACAACTGAATGAGGAGGCACTACACATAATACCCGTCCCCACCAAAAAAAAATAATAATTATTATTATTAKTAGTAGTAGTAGTAGTAGTTTCGGTTAAAATAAATTATACAAACAAACAATAATAATAACCATGGGTTTTTTATAGTATATCAACAACAAAAATAACTAAACTATTTATTAATAATAATAATAAAACAAAAAATAATAATAAATTAATAATTTATGAAAAAAACAAAAATAGTTAAACAAAAAAAATAATAATAATTTCTAACAAATATTAGATATAGTTTTTTGAATTAATTAATTAATTTTTTAGGATTTCAGGGGTTTTGGTGGGGGTTGGGTTTAAACAGTACATCAACAACAACAAAAAATAACTAAACTATTTATTATTATTATTATTATTATTATTATAAAACAAAAATAATATATTAATAATTTATGGAGAAAAAAATATTAATAATAATTTCTAACAAATATTAGATATAGTTTTTGAATTAATTAAATTTTCAGGGGTTTGGGGGGTATGGGTTTCAACTGTACATCAAAAAAACCATTTACTACTACTACTACTACTACTAATAATAATAAAACAAAAAATAATAATAAATAAATAATTTATGAAAAAAAACAAAACAAAAAAATAATAATAATTTCTAACAAATATTAGATATAGTTTWTGAATKAATTAATTTTTCAGGGTTTGGGGGGTATGGGTTTCAACTGTACATCAAAAAAAACTATTTACTACTACTACTACTACTACTACTACTAATAATAATAATAATAATAATAATAATAATAATAATAATAAAAACAAAAAATAATAATAATAAATAAATAATTTATGAAAAAAACAAAACAAAAATAAATAATAATTTCTAACAAATATTAGATATAGTTTTTGAAAATTAATTAATTTTTCAGGGGTTTGGGTTTCAAACAGTCCATAGAGACAGTCCATACCAATAACATTAAGGTAGACATGACTGGTCATTGTCCGACCCCAGCGATAGTCTACACGACACCTGTAGTCCATAGTATCCGTATCGACCACTGGACTAATCGTTAGCATTGCCACTGGTTTTCCGGCCGATACGTTAAACGTGGCCCGATTGCCGGCAAATATATCGCTAGAAAAATGTCGGCTGCCATCACCTCCTCCTCCACCACCTCCCGGATCTCGATTGTCTACCGTATAGATTGGCGTACGGCTACTGTTTCCTCTGTACCATAGGATTAGTGTTATCTGGTCGTCCTTCATGGCCGGTGTCGTATTGCACGACAGTTCCGCACGACTGCCGTTAACTGTCCGGACTTCCGGATAAACTATAGGTGCGATTGTGTGGACACAACAAAATAATAATATTTTATTTTATTTTTTTTTAAAAAAATATAAATTCATTAATAATTTTTTCTCCAACAAAAAATAAATAGTTTAATAATTATATATTTTAAAAATAATTTTATTGATTTATTTATTTATGTTTAGTTTTTTTTTAGTATATTTATGTAAAACTTAATACTTGTCACAAAAAATATAACAAAATGTAATTTAATCCATAATTTTTGTTTGTTTGTTGTTTTTATTATTATTGTTGAATAATATCATATTTATATTATTTTATTATTTTCAACAACAAATATTATTTAATAATCCATAATAAAAATAATAATAATAAAATACTAGATATTACATAACAGCAAACATACAAATAAAAAATAAATACTAAAATTTTTCTGATAAAACTACAGAATATTCTGTATTCTATGTGTTGACAATATATATATATATATATATATATAAGTTAAAACATAAAATCAAATATATAATACATAATATAATATATAATAAAAGTTAAATTATTGATAAAAATTAAATTAAAAGTTTTACTATTTTTGAAAAAATATATTTTATTAGTAAACACACACTCACACAAATACACACACACACACTCACACACACAGTCACACACACTCACACACACACTCACACACACTCACACACACTCACACACACACACTCACACACACACACTCAAACACACATATATATATATACATACAGACACACACACATATATATATATACAGACACACACACACACACAAATATATATGTACATACAGACACACACACACACACACATACATACATACACATACAATAAAAATTGCCTAGGTGAAATTTACTAGAATAAATTTTATTTGTAATAGCAATCCTACTTTTTTGGACAGTTAATACAACAACAATAATAATAATAATAATAACAAAAATATTTAATACATTGTTGTTGTTGTTGTAGTTGTCAACAAAAAGGTTTATAAATGTAACATAAATCCAAAAATGCATTGTACTACATAACCATGGTCAATTTGTTTTTTTTATATATAAACATAACAAAAAAATAAGTCAGTTTACTATCAATATATATATATATAAAATAATTTT